TGACCAGGCAGTCAACGGAGCTCTTGCTGGGGTGGGAGGGGCCCACCCTGGGACCCAGGGTCATCGTCCGGCAGCAGCTGCTGTCCCTTCATCTGCAAAACCTGCTTGCTGGCCTACAGGAAGGCCAGGGGCCCCAAGGGGTCGCAGAGCCTCAGCATCTCATCACAGCTCTCCAGGCCCAGGTAGCCGGGCGTGGACTCCAGGAAGGATTCCAACTGGTAGATGCGGATGCTGACAGGGCTGCTGCAGGTGGGCACCTTGGCCACCTTCACATACAGCCTGTAGCGGCATGGGTCCGGGTTGCACAGGGTCCAGGTGCAGTGAGAGGTGCTGGCAGGGAACTCCACGGCCGCCAAGAAGAACCTGAAGAACTTGCCCTGAACCAGCATGGGGCATGGCCCTGCCCCAGGATGTATGTCCAGCCCCGAGGCCACACATGACTGATGACCCAGCAGCAGCAGCGGATCAAAAATTCATAGGGCGCACAGGGCAGCGGCCTGGCCCCTCATCCTACCTGGAGAGGCCGCCAGGATTTTGCTGGCTGGGCAGGCAGGCGTAGGCCAGGCCTTGACATGCCTAGGTCCGGTGGCGAGTACGGCCAAGCTGGGCTAGGGACAGATAACAGGGCTCTGAGCAGAGGCAGGAAGAGGAGAGGGCTTCAGAAGACCAAGGAGGCAACAGCGGCTCCTAACATCTGGGGATGGGGCGGCAGCCTGGGGTTGCCAGCAGCGGCTGGAAGAGAAAGCAGGAGAGGACTGTCAGCCCTGTGGGGAGGCTGAGACTCGAGCATGCTGGGGGCTGTGCCCACCCTGAGCTTGGGGCCCTCATACAGGCCTCGGACCTGCTCTCAAGCACCTGCTCTATGCACCTGTCTCTCACTTCCCAGTGTGTTCACCTGTAGGGGCAGGAGGGCAGGAAGCCAGGGTCCCGGGCACATCCTCTCCCACCTAGGCCTGGGTGGGAGTAGTGGGCAGTCCCTGCCAGGGCCGCAGGTCACATGGTCCTCAGCTGTGCCCATCTGGACAGACAAACTGGCATGGGCCCTCTGCCCTGGGCCTGCCTGCAATCCCCATGGTCACCATGGGGGTCATTCCCATTCTGGGACTCTGTGGCCTCTCTGAACTTACCCCTCCCCAACCCCATCTTTCAGGGAAGGATCTGTAACCCAGCCAGAGGGGATGCAGGACAGGGGGACAGAGGAGACAAGGTCATTCCAGCCATCCCATAGCCTCCCTGTAGCCTGACTCTCTGAACCTCAGCCCATATGGCTGCAGACTCCCCTCTCATCCTTCCTCACATAATAATTGACCTACTCATTGGGGGATGAAAGGAGGGTCAGATCCCAGGTCTCTGGCTGTGACTTTGACATCCAACTGCCTCCTCTTGGCCCCCACCCATCCTGTTGCCTGTCACAGATCCCATCAGGTGTCCCCTTCAGACTCCCACCTGTGCTACTGACAAGAAGCTCCCCTCCTCCTATACCCACCGCCCAGATTCTCCTGCAGCCACTAGGTCCAGGCTTCTGCCTGGACTGACCCCTGCATCCTGCCTTGGCCAGGTCGGCAAGGTTGCCCTCCCTCCATTTCATGGTGAGGAAACCGAGGCTCAGACAAGGTCACAGTCAGGAGGCAGGAGTACCCACACCTGAAACCCCAAGACTGACCCTAATCTCGTGACCCTGGGGTCACCTGCCCTGCTCCAGGAGAGGGTGCTGGCTGTGTGCCACCTACTCACACCCAGTGGACGAAGTTAGCTCCTGGCCCAGGTGAGCGGGGATGCAGCAGAGCTGTCCTGGCCTCAGGAAGGCAGCACCGCCTTTCCTGGACTCGCCCCCATGTGAACCCTGGGAAGTTCCTTCTGCTTCCAAGCCTCAGTTTTCCTACCCTTCCCGAAGCCCCCAGCTGGTCATTGCTCCACACAGCAGCGAGGCCAGTGGGCAGAGGATGGAGACTGCAGTCTGTGCCCCAGAGCTGGCCCGGCCTCCTAGTGTTGGCACCTCCGCTCTGCGGACCATGCACACACTGGCCTCCTGCCCACAGGAATTTCTTCCTCCTGGTTGCCTGCGCCCAGGTGGCCGGTGACACAAGGTCGGTCCCTGCTCTGCACTCCTCTCCTGGCGTCCATCCTGACAGGTCTATAGGCATGGCAAGAGCGGGGGCGTGGGCGGCCTCCAGCTCTGAGCGAACCAGGCCAGGACGGCTGGACTCGGCTGCCCCTCTCATGGCTGTGTGGGCTCGGGCTTGTCCCTCACCTCCCAGCCTTGGTGTCCCCATCTGCAAGGTGGGAGTGAGGCTTCACGCACGCAGCACAAGGGTCAGAGCTGGACCTGCCGGTTTACCCAGAGATAAGGCAGGAGAGGACCCCAGAGGGAGAAAGGCTCGTTGGGGATGCTGGGGCACCAGGCAGCCCTGTGGGGGCTCTTCAGTGGCAAATGTTCATTCCTCTGAGGATGCAACTTGCCATCTCCTGATGCTGCCCCTCCAAGCAGTGCTGGGCACACCTGCACTTGGCCCCTACCACTGGGAAGCCCGTTCTCTTGCCTTGCCTCTGGACCATTCCGGGGACAGTCTTGGTGGTGGGTACAGACACCTGCTCTGGTTTCCTAATCAACGTTTGGGGACAGAGACCGGACACCAAGGTCCCACGGCCAATTGCACACCTGGGAGGGTGCCCGCTCGGCCTGACGGCAGGGTGGCAGTGGGACCTGAAATCTCACCTGAGCCTCAGCCCCAGCTGCAGCACAGGCTCCCCTGCACTCACCTTGGGACCTAATGCAGCCGCCAGCCCCCAACCCAGGGCCCCAGCCCGGGAACAGACCCTCTCTGATGTCCTGGAGAACCCCAGCAGAAAGCCTCATCACAGTCCAGTGCCTCCCCCAACACCACTCTGAGTGACAGCCGCTTCACTCTGTCCTGTCCCCACTGAGCAGGGGTCAAGACCATTTCAAACCGAGCACTTTTCCCTGAGGGGCCTGTACACTCTCAGATGACCCAGGCTGGACCCACACTCTTCCCTCCTCATCCCAGCCCCTGGCAGCCCACCCCACAGCCCTCCTGTCTGGGAACCAGGTGCAGCCTGGAGTAGACGCTCAGATTGTGTGCTGGGGGTGAGAAGGTGGTGGAGGCAGGTGAGGGCAGGGCTGCCTCCACCATGCTGTGCACTCGAGGGCCTGGAGAGAAGAGCAGGGCTCACGGAGGGAGGGGACCACCACTGGGCTCCATCGTGTTCCAGGCACTGGGTCCCCACAGCAGCAATCCTGGGGGCACCTGCCACAGCTCCACTTTGCAGATGGGTACATGGGGGCCATAGACGAGCCGTCCTGGTGGGGACTCCCAGGATCTGAGCCCAGGTCTGTTGCACAAGTCCCTGCCCTCTGCATGGCCTGGCACTGCCCCAGGCCAGACAAACCGATCTGAATTCTGCCGCTATCCCAGGGTCTATGGGAGCCGGACCGACTCGAGGCCCTCCTGGCATCCCTGTGGGCCGGCCTCATCTGCACCAGCTCACTCCTCTCCTTCAACACGTGTCAGGGGAGCCAGGCCCACCCCGTCCTGGACAGAGGACAAGAGGTGGCAGTGAGCATTAGAAGCAGGACAGCACCCGAATCAGAACTGCCCCTTGGAAAGCCCGCCCTGGCAGCACAGGGGAGCAGGCCTTCGGGAGGAAGGAAGCAGGGGGAGGATGCTCAGGACACAGAAGACATAACCTCAGCCCCAGCTGGGCTGTTGGGCATGGCGGGGGCGTTTCTGGCCTGGACCCTGAGGACGTGGGAGGTACCAGTGCGGAGGGAGTTTAGGGGCAGGTTAGGGCAAAGCCCCATCAGGCAGCCATAGGACTGAGGCTCTGGACAGAGATTTCAACTGCTTTAGGGGACAGGGAACAGCCCAGAAGAGCCCATCCATGAAGTTCTAAAACAGGGTTCCTTGGAGCCCTGGAACTCCACAGCGGGGACCATCCTCTAGAACTTGAACCGCTCCATGCCCTGGGCATTGGGGCAGGCTCTGCTGGCCAGAAGGGAGTCCCACTATGAGGCTGAACACCAAGGAAATGGCCCGCTCTCCCTCTTCTGGCTGGATCTAGGGGCAGAGCTAGGAAGGTGCCAAGGTGGTCAGCACGGACAGCTCCCGCACCCTCCCACCTGCCAAACCCGCCAATGCCCTGCATCTCTGCTACTCAGAAGAGCCCTCCGTACTCTGCTGCACTCACCGCCTCCCCCACCTGCCAAGGACCAGTACTACCAGCATGCTGCCCAGGGAGGTGGGGGGAGCTGACCTCCACCTTGCCCAGCCCGAAGATCTGCCCTCCTGGTCTCCAGCCCCAGCACTGGAGGCTCTGAAAAATGGGTCTTTTTTGTTGTTGTTGGTTTCCTGGACACCACACCTTCCCCCTCTTCCCAGGGCTCTGGCCACCTCTTTGCTCCTCTCCTGACCCTCAGCTTTGGGGCTATGAACAAATCAGGTCAGGATAGCTGGCTTCCTCTGTAACCCCATGTAGCTTGTTTGGTGCCTCTACAGATGCTAGTTTGTGGAATCCATCAGCCCCACGAGCTCAGGAGAGACAAGAGCCCTGGACTTAATCAGCTGGCCCTGCCATGACCTGCTGGCATGAAAGCCCAGCCCAGCCTGGCCTCTGCCACCCTCCCTGCCCTGGCTGCGGCCCCAGCCTCCCGTGACTCCCTGGGCTTCCTGCAAGGAGGGCTCCCCTCCAAGTGCCTGCAAGGCCCCCTGCCTGCCCTGCTGCCATGGAGCCCAGCCCAGTGTCCCAGCCCACTGATCGTGCCCTCCTGTGCGGTGCCCCGCTCACCAAGGAAACCAAACTGCAAGAAGGTGGACTGTGCCCCAGACCCTCCCAGCGGGTTCCCACCCAGCACACATGCATTCCCCGCCTTAGTTGCCGAAGCCCACAAGGCTTCCCCACTCCTCTCCCAGAATCTTGAACACGGCTCCCTGACCAAGTGAGCCCCTAACTCTGGGTGACACACAGCCCCAAAAGCAGGGACCCCCACCTCCCTCCACCAACCTCATCTTATGTTTGGCTGTTAGTGCCTCCTCCCTCCCCTGACCTGAAAAGCAGCTCAAGACACAAAGGGCTTTGCTTGTGCCTCTTCACTGCTCCTCGTCCCTGGCACCAGAACCTCCCAGGAAATAGGTAACTAACCAGTTGCTGGGTAAGGATTTGTGCGGCCACACCAAGTGCAACCCCCAAACTGCATCTCCTGACCACACCTCCCGACAGCCCACTCTTATTTTTTTCTCCCATGTCCCAGGAGGCCCCTGCAGACCCTGCCACAGGCCACAGCAGCCTGCTAACCCATTAGAATCGTCCTACCTGCAGAAGAGGAGGAAACTTCCCCCAGCCAGAAATGAAAAACTCCCTCATCCTGGGAGAAACCAGACCCATCCTTCCCTGCACATTCAGCAAGCACCTCCCAGTGTGCTGCACCACGCCCGGCCCTGGGGGTCACATGCAAGCACCCCAGGTCCCTGTCCTCTCAGTGAGCCTGCAGAGAACATTTCTCTGTGCAACTGGCTTCCCCGAGGGAGCCCTTAGGGAACGGTGGCCAGGGCTACCCTGCAGAGGAGGCCCTCTCCCCAATCCCTCTGCCCAGGGTGCTGCCCCATGGGTCTCTCCCCAACTGTCACTCACCTGGAAGCGCATCCCGGCCCCTGTCCTGGATCAGACTGCTGAGGCACTTCTCAGGGCCATCAGCCACGACACTGGGGTCGTGACTGCCCATGACCAGGTGTATCATGGAGAAGTTGTCGCTGGGGTGGAACTGCTTGCTGGCTCGAGGGGTTGCAGAGCCTCAGCACCTCGTCAAGTTCTCCAGGCCCAGGTAGGTGCACGTGGAATCCAGGAAGGAGTCAACCTGGTAGATGCAGATGCGGGCTTGGCTGCCTTGGCCACCTTCATGGAAAGCATGTAGCAGCATGTGTCCGGTTTGCACAGGGTCCAGGAGCAGCACAAGGCATTGGCAGGGAACTCAGCGGCTGACAAGAACTTGTCCTGCAGCAGCGCAGTTCACGGCTCAGCCCCACATCTGCCTCCACAGCGACACGCGCCTCGTGCCCCGGCAGCAGCCGCAGCAGAAGGAAGATCCAGAGGGCACCCAGGGCAGATGCCTGACCCATCATCCTAGCTCATGGGGCCACCAAGGTTTCACAGGCTGGGCAGGCAGGCACGGGCCAGGCCCTGACATACGAAGGTCCGGCAGTGAGTGGGGTCAGGCCAGGCTGGGGCCAGGGTGCAGGGGCTCTGAGCGGAGGCAGGAGAAAGAGAGGGCTCAGGAGACCGAAGGGCAGCAGTGGCTCCTATCATCCAGGGCCCTGACACCGGCCTGGGGCTGCCAGCAGAGTCTGCAAGAGAAAGCAGAAGAGAGGACTGTGAGCCCCGTGGGGAATCTCAGACTCAGGCATGCTGGGTGCAGCGCCCACCCCGGGCTTGGGGCCCTGACACAGGCCTCGGCCTTGCTCCCAGGCAACTGCTCTCTGTACCTGTCTGTTTGCCACCTGCTAGTGTGTCCACAGGAGCAGGGAGCCAGGGGTCTGGGCACAGTCTCCTCAGTCTAGGCATGGGTGGGAGCAGTGGGCCGCCCCTTCCAGGGCCACAGGCCACAAGGGCCTCGGTTGTGCCCATTTGGATGGACACAGTGTCATGGCCCCCAGGGCTCCGGGCCTGTCTGCAAGCCCCATGGTGGCCATCGAGATCATCCCCACTCTGGGCCTCTCTGACCTCACCCCTCTCCAACCCCATCTTTCAGGGAAGGATATATGCAAACCCAGCCAAAAGGGGATGCAGGACAGGGAAGCAGAGGAGAAAGTTCATTCCAGCCATCCCCCAGCCTCCCTGCAGCCCTACCCTCTCAACCTAAGCCCATGTGAGTGCAGAGAACCCTCCTATCTCTACCATCTGACAGCACGAGTGACTGGTTCTTTGGGGGATGAGGGTGGGGTCAGATCTCGGTCTCTGGCTGTGCCTTTGACATCCACCTGCCTCCTCTCTGCCCCCAGCCACCCTGCTGCCTTTCACAGGGCCCCTCAGGTGCCCCCTTCAGCCTCCCACCTGAGCTCCTGCCAGGATGCTTCCCTTCCTTCGACCCCCTCCCACATTCATTTGAACACACATTCATTTTCATTTGGAAACAGGAGAAAAGGAGGAAAGAGGATCCAGGCAATGCATGTGCTAAGGCTCCTGAGCTGCCATTCAGCCTGTAAGTCCCAGCACAACAGGAGCATCTAACATCAGTGCCTGCAAGTAAGAGCGTGTTTTTTCCTTTCAGCATTTTTATGGTATTCCTTTTTCTACATTTATCAAGTTGACTAGAATGCCTGTGAACCTCGATTAATAAGAATGATGGACACATGCTGTTTCTGATTTTACTGGAATAAATGGAGAAGAACTTTATCACAGCAATGGAGCCCATGCACCGTGGAGTCAGACTGGCTTTAATCTCAGGTGCTAGCACCTACCAGGTATGAACGCAGGCAGGTCATTTAATATACAAGTCTCCCTCTGCTCATTTATACACTGGTGAATGATTAAGGAAAGTGGACTCTTGCCTCCTCTACACCATTGGTCTTACCGGAATGGTTACTTCCAGGCCGCAGCACTCCAGGTCTGGCAGCATCTCTGTAACCCAGTTGGGGCTAAATGGACACAACGGCTCAGAGAACGGCTCTGTGACACATGGAGATATTTGCAGCAATTCTTGATTTACATGGAGACCTTCTCTGAAAACAAAAGACAAGAGAGCAACATTATGTTATCCCATCCATAATTAAGGCTACAGGTAAAAAGTATGTTACCTTAAAACCAAGACCACTTTTTGGCCAGGTAAAATTGCGAATCACATCAGAGACCTTCTAAATCACATTCTTTCTCACTTGATATGGAAAAACAATCTTCAGTAACAACATTCAGTGGCGGCGCCTCTAAGTCATAGTCACACTACAGGGTTAACTTTCTATACATTGAATCTAATGGTATTGTTTCCTTGCCTAAAAAACTTTAGTAATTCTCCAATATACAGATGATTCAGTATATTATTTCTTAGCTTTACATATTAATTTGTTCACTGTAAGACCCCAAACCTTATTTTCCAGTCTCTGTACTTCTAACTCATCCCCCCGACATACCATTTATAGCTGAATCTTCTACTATCATCCCCACAATGTCATCCTCTCAATATGCGTGTTGCTTTGTGCCTTTAAGTCTCTACACACCCAGGACCCTTCATCTAGAACCCCTTCCCAATTCTCTGACTAGAAACTAACACCAATTATTTAAGCCCAGGTCACGCGTACCTGGGAAGTCCTGTCTCTCTCACACGGTCTATCCCTCTGTCCTCTTGTTCCTGCAGCGCTTTTTTATTGTGTCTGGTGTAGAGCTTTTAACACTGTACTGTGCTTACGTAAATGCTCCTCTGCTCCACATGAAAAAGTTAAAGAAAACACTGTACACTTATCTGTGCCCTCCAGAGCCGACCATACTGTGGTGCATGGGGGGCCACAGTAGTGCAAAATCAACTGTGTGAATGAACGAACTCCGTATCTCTGTCCCTTATGCCAGCTGCCTCCCACTCATGCCGTGGTTTCCATCTTGTGTACGTGTCTCCTACTACTTTACTGCCATGTGGGGACCCTGGGTTGTGCTACGTGTCCCTGTCACTGTCCTGTTTCCTATCTCTGTCACTCGTGGCCACAATGGTAGGTAGCAAGCACAGCCCTCCCATGGTGATGATGAGGGGAATGCGAGCTCCGTGACACAGGGCTTCCACCTGGGCCTCTCACTACTCAACATTAATACAGCTGTATTCTAGGGAAGGGTTTCCAAGAAAAATTGTAGTCATCATTAACCCTTTCTGAGGATGACGTAAGTTTGAACAAATAACATGAAACCCAAAAAGAATACTGTTGCAGCTACTACAGCAGAAGGTACTGGGGGGGGGGGGAGCTCTGTGGTAACGATGTCCAGGGTGAGTGCAGGCTATAGCTCCAAAAATTTCTCTGTGATGTTAGTGTTTCTTATGCACAAAGATGAGCACCCTCATGTCCAGACTCAGATCCACAACTGCTCCCAAATACACACACACCCACACACACACGTGTAGAAACTGCTATTAAAAGGAACTATCAACTGAAGAAATTATCACAATCAAATGTTCTTAAGTGCAGGTTCAATAACTCTCCCCACTAGATGTTCTTTCCCAATATATTCTGTAAAATTTACCTGAAGTTTTTTAATGACTGTTTCAATCTGTTCAGAAAAGTGAGTGGCAACCAGCACTGCAGCTTTACCAGGCTTCAGGGACACAAGTTCCTGGAATGAAAGACAAAGGTAAAATGATCTTTAATGCTAAATTTAAATACAATTTCCACAAGATGTGCAGCATGAGCACCTACTTCAAAATTTTCATGAGCTTCTGCACTGCCTTTCAGGAGACTTCAATACAGGGCCTCAATTCTAATGAAAGGCATATTGCAAATAAGCAAAATTTTAAAAGTACCATTCAAAAAATCAGATTTTAATATAAAACATAATTCAGAATTCTTAGAAAATGAAAGCACTAAACATTCAGGATTCAGGCGATGACATCTACAGGATGAAAAGGAAACATCACCTCCCCAAATTCCCCGCAGGGAATTTCACCTTTGATATTAAAGTAGTAACTCAGTGAAATAAAAAAAGAATATAGTTGTGATTTCTCTAACTAAGAATTCTGAAATTTCACTTCTGATGCCTGGTAGACTATGAAATATGAAATCAGAAGTGTCTTAAGAAACTAACTTAAGGTTGTAACTCGAAGAGGTTGACCATTCTACGTAAGGCCTATTTCTGTCAAATCGAAGACTTTCAACCTTGCCCTCCCCTTGAACTTCCCTAGATACCACTGGCTCTCCTCTTCTTCTCAAAACTCTCTTCATACTTGGTTTCTATGACCCTATTCCACCTTTCCAATTGCATGTTCTATTGCTAACATGCAAAGATTGGCTACAGATCAACATATTATATTGTCAAATAAAAATATGACAAGTTATTGTGGCTGCAAAATTTATGATATAAATAGTAATTTTGTAGATAAGAATTAGCTGACAGAAATAAGTGTAGTTTACATCACTTTTAAGCAATCACCTCAAAACAGAGAAGGTAGTATCACAAATGAAAAAGAAATGTCACTACTGATCTTCAGACACTGAAAAGAAACTATTATGAATTAATTTGTGTTGAGAACTTGAAAATCTAAACAAAATGGGTAAATTCCTAGAAAACTATAAATTACTAAACTGACGTAAGACATGGAAAACCTGCATTGATTTTTAACCACTAAAGAAACTGAATAGTCAAAAATCTTCCCATATGGAACACTCTAGGCCCAAACAGCTTCACTGTTAAGTCCTTGCAATCATGTAAGGAAGGAGTTATTTCCAACATTAAATCTCTTGTAAAAAATTGAAAAGAAGAAACTACTTCAGCTCATTGTATAAGGCTAACAAAATTTTGATACTAAATCCAACATAAGAAAAGGAAAATTACAGATCAATCTTAATCATGAACACTGATATAAACATCTAAATAAAAACAAAATCCAAGATGTATGAAAAAGATACTACATTAGGATCAAGTTACAGTTATCCATAGAGTTCAAGGCTGGTTTAATATCCATAAAATTTACAATGAAAATACAGTAAGGGAGAAAAGGTAATAAAATTTACTTTTGAGAAAAACTGTTAGCATACAAAAAATAGAAGACTTCCATAAAAAATGTAAATACTGCACGTTAGAAATAAAACTTTTTAAATATTAACAATAGCACTATTGTGATAAAAAATGTAAAGTTGTGACAGTAAATCTAACCATCTAGAGGTGAAAATCTCTAACAGAGAAAATTATAAAACTTTATAGAAAGATAACTGAGTAAAGGGTTATGCCAAGTGGTCATTAAATAGAAGACTCACAATGTAAAGATGTCAGTTGAAATTGAAATTGAATGACAGATTCAATGCAATCCCTATCAGAACTGTAAGGTTAAAAAAGTTTCTGGGGGGGACTTGACAAGTTGATTCCAAAATGTGTTTCGAAGTATCAAAGGTCAAGAACAGCCAATACTCTCCTGAAGCTATCAAGACTTCTAATAAAGCAACAATATTTAGGACAGTGTGGTACTGATGTAGAGACAAAGCTCAATCAAACAGAAGAGCGCCCGTAAAGAGACCAAGCATGTAGACCCTTGATACACTCATGGTAAGGCCGCAATGCTGGGCATGGGGAAAGGCAACCTTTCATCACAACTGCTGCTGGGAGAAACGGGCATCCACATTTTTAAAAATAACATGGACCTCCACCTCAAACTATATACAAAAACTGCTTTCAGATGGATCTAAGATTTAAACATGAAAAGTTAAAAAAAAAAGAAAAGAAAACTTCTACATAATAAAGGAGAACTTCTCCTTTGATATGGAAACAAAAAATTATTCTGACTACTTCAGAAAAAGAAAAAAGCTTTTATTAAAAAGAACCACAGAAAAAAGCCACAGAGAAGATATTTGCAACAGGTATCACTCACAAAAAGACTTCACATCCAGGTACATAAAGACCTCCTACAGATCAATGAGGACAAGAGACATTCCACCAGAAAAATGGGCAGAAGACTTGAAAAAGCACATCACAGAAAGGAAATTTCAA